TAGTTTTGCTATTAAAGTACTCTGAAATCTTTTTTTCCTTCATTCTTTTGTGTGTGTGTGTGCATGTGTGTATGTGGGGAGGTGGTGCTGGGTATTGAACCAAGGGCCTTGTACATGTTAGATAAATGCTTTACTATTGATCTACATCCCCAGTCTGAAATCATTTTAAGTTTATAAAATTGTAGAATTACATGTTACTTGCTAATATGTAATGTATTTATAAAAAGAGATTTATTTTAAAAATTCTACAAAAGATTTAATATGTCACCTTAAGTCGTATTTTCTAAATCCTTAGTAAGTTTTAAGTCTTTAAGACAACTTAAATTTGAGTCAATTTATAAATAATTATTAGAATACATAATTTTAATATACTCATGTTTTTGCATTTTATTTTACAGATCTGGGGACTAAACTCAGGGCCTCATGAATGCTAGGCAAATGTTCTACCACTAGGTATATAACATACCTATGTTCTTATTTAATTCTTCACACAGTAGTACCAATTACCAGATTACAAAGAACACACATTTCTTCTAGGTTTTCTAGTTTATCAGTGTACAGTTGTTTGTAAGTCTCTTGTGATAGCTAGAATGGAGAATTTTGAATGTTCTCATCAAATAGAAATGAAAAATGTTTTAGATGATGGATAACCTATATATCCTGAGTTGATCACTACAAATGCATAAATGTACCAAGATATCACACTGTACCCTATGAAGATATACAATTGTTATCTGTCAATTTTAAAAAAGGATGTATTAATGCCTTTGAATTAAAAAGAGTTATTTTTCAAACAGATATTCGTCACCCTGATGATCTTAAAAGTGTATCTTCCCCTGTATCCTGCATTTATATTCCCATTGGGAATGTAAAACAGTTGATGTCACTTGAGATTTGATGTTGGAGGCTGGACTTCAGAGAGGAAAACTGGAAAGGTCTATGACTGGAACAACTGTAATCTGGCTTTGGTGCCCCCTGAGTAATGTCCAAATGCTTGTCATTTTATGAAATGGTCTTGGGGTTTGCTGGAGACCTTTGCCTGCACTTTCCTGATCCAGCTAACACTTTAGAAAGACAAACTCATACTAAAAATGGTACACAATGTCAGGAAACTGGCATTATTTGATTGGAGACATTCAGGAATAAAATTCATTTTGCCTGTACTTAGTTAGCTTCATAGAACATCAGAGAAGAAATAAGGCTCCTGGTAATAAATACCAGATACCTCTGCTGAACACTAGTGAGGCACACCTTAGTAGTGAGGGAGGAACTGGTAAAGCATCTGTGAGGGCCACTTGGCAATATCTATTCTGACTTTTCAAATGTGCTGGTTTTAGTCGGGTGCAAGTAGCAGGGAAAAATCCATCATTCATAACACTGCCTTTCTTCCATGCCATCTTGAATCCCAGTTTTCTAAACTTTAATGAAATCTTGGATAGACCTGTTCCTGGTCACTTACAAGTTACTGGTGAATTTTCTCACTTTCCAAGTATTAACAAGTTGGATCCAGTTTCATAGCTAAGCTTTGATCTCACCCAGTTTCAAGCTTCTTCCCAACCCTAGCTCAGTCATGACTCAGGCTCAGAAACCTGAAGTCCAGAAAGGCTGTCCTGCTGGTTTCGTTATTTCCCCCTTATACTTTCCCACTGTTTATGCTGTTGTTCAAAACTGTCTCATCCAAAATTCATGTTGGAACATAAACCCCATTGTAGCAGTATTATGAGGTGGAGTGAATGAATGAATGGAAGGCCTGGAGTCTAGCTGGGGCACTTTCTATCTTATTGTCTCTTATGATTTGGATCTGAGGTGTCCCCCAGACATTCCTGTATTAATACAAGAATGTCCAGAAGTGAAATTATTGGATTGCAAGAGCTGTAACCTAATCAATTGATCCCAGGTTGAATGGGTTGGATGGTAATTGTAGGCAGGTGGGGCATGGCTGATGGAGGTGGGTTAACGGGGCTACCTGGAAGGGTTCATCTTCCCTGCAGCCTCTTCCCCCTTCTCTTTGCTTCTTGGCTGCCATGAATGGATCAGTCATCCTCCATCATTCATTCCCTTCTGCCATGGTGTGCTGCCTTACCTTGGGCCCAGAGCAATGGAGTCAGCCCATCATGGACTAAACCTCTGAACTGTGGGCCCAAAATAAACTCTCCCTCCTCTAAGTTGCTCTTGTCAGGCATTTTGGTCACAGTGACACAAATCTGACTAAAACACTGTCTCTTTGACCTTTGAGAACATAGCATCTGTCCCCTCCTGAGAACACAGCAACAAGGTACCATTTTGGAAGCAGAGAGCAGCCCCCACCAGACACCAAACCTCCAGGTGTCTTGACCTTGGACTTTCCAGACTCAAGAACTGGAAGACATACATTTATGTTGTTTATAAATTACTCAGTCTGTGGTATTTTGTTATAGCAGCAGAAACAGGCTGAGACCATTTCTACCTTACTCACTCTGGACGACCTTAGAGAAGAAAACTGGAAAGGTCTGTGACTGGAACAACTGTAATCTGGCTTTGGTGCCCCCTGAGTAATGTCCAAATGCTTTTCATTTTATGAAATGGTTTTGGGGTTTGCTAGAGACCTTTGCCTGCACTTTCCTGATCCAGCTAACACACTTCCCTGCCAACTATTTAGGACTCCCACACTCTGGCATGGGCCCTCTGTACTCCTCCTACCCCATACCTTCAGCCTGTTCTTTCTGGAATTCTTTTCAATTCCAGCCCCCTTCCACACGCCCATTATCAGACACAGGAATCACATACATAGGCCTCCCCTTTGGAGTAGTGAGTTGTACCATGTGTATTAAAATTATGCCCATGGTATAAGGCCCATGGGACTTTAGTTGTGGCAGCCACTAAGTGCTGACATAGGAAGAGGGCAATGACATTGAAAGAGAATTTAATACTTACATTTTCCCATAAAATGTGACATGCCATACCACATAGGATCACAGGGAAGATATTGGATTTGGTCAGGCAGGAGCAAGAGTCAGGGGAAGGCCTAGGTCAAAGCCTATTCTGGGAGTTCTGCAGGACAGGCAGAGGAAACAGTAGAACTGGCTAGTTTGAATAATTCCAAAGGCTCTGGGGATATAGGGACTCTCCCAGTTCTCTGGTACCTGACCATGAGATGTCTTGGGGGCCATGGGATGACATAGTACCAAGGAAACACTGGGTTGGTATGTGAGTTAGAACAGGAGGTAGTTGGGGCTATGGACTCAGGATTGATTGATTTGCATATGAAAGTTGTGTTTATAGGCAAATTATTATTTCTTTAGGAATTAGCTACCCCTGAGAAGCACAGTTTCTCCCTGGGTCTACAGGGCCTTCAAATGTCACAGCATTGAGAACACAGAAAATAAGAAAACAAAATGAAAACAATTGACCTTCTGATGCCCAAAAAAGACAAATAAAAACCCGAGAAATTACAACACAAATATCACGCTGCCTGCTGGTGGGCTTTGCCTTATGTGGTTTTCCTAGTAGTGACACAGGTTCTAGTTCTTAGAGTCTCCAACTCTTAAGGGAAATGGGACAAGCTCTCCAAGTGACTATTATTAACTCTCTCACTGGTTTAAGCTAAACCAGAAGTCCCAAAAAGGGGGAAATATCAATGACTGATAATTCTTGCTGGTTTGGCAGTATCAAGGTACTTGCATATATAACTGTGTGCAATAAACAGCCTGTGCCTGTGTGTCCTCCTTAGTAAATGCACAAAACATCTTTGAAAAGATAAACTAGGATTACTACCAGGGTTTGTCATTGACAGAAGAAACTAGGGAGTGAGTAGAAGACAGATGTATTTTTCACTGTATATACTTTATGTTTTGGATTTTTAGCCATGTACATCTATTACTCTTCTGATAGTTAAATTAACAGCTTTTCCCCACCCCTGTGTCCTGCCTATCTGTCCCTCATAAGGCTGTGCACCATTTAGGAACAGAGCTTTTGGATTGTGGTCTCCACCCATTTTTCTACCCTGGTGTCCTAGATAGGATAATGTAGAAGGAAACTCCAAAGTCCACTTCTTCCTTCTGCCCCAAAGCCCCAGTTAAGGAGAACTAGAATTACACAGCTGGTGAGTCCCAGTGGCTTCCATAGTTCTACAAAGCGATGTCCCCTTAAATTGTCCCCCATCAGTCTTATAATTCCAGAAGGTAAAGAGAAGGAAAGAACGTGGAGAAGGTCCTTATAACCTCTTACTCTAAGGACTTCTAACCCTCCTGGCTCCAGGCCTGGCTGTGTCTTTGGCCCTTGTGACTTTGGCCTAGTGATTTGACTACAGGTTCTTGCTGCCAGGATGCTGTGCTCCTCCTCCCTTAAGGAAGGCAGTTGGAGGATTGGGGGACAGAATGCCAAAGCAGTCTTTGGTTCTTGCCCTGTCTGTGCTTTGAGTCAGTGGTGATACCTGTTAGCAGTAGTAACAATAGCACATTGACACTGAAACCTAGTGCAGGCCAGGTTATATGCCAGAGGTACTACATGCATTACTCATTTGATCCTCACAGGGACCCCTGGATATTGTTACCACCATCAGTACTGACTTATTGATAAGTCCATAGTCTTGCCCAATGTCACACAGCAGAGCTATGACCCTAAATCTGCCTTCCTGCATCAGGAGCAATTTACCCATCTCTCGGGTTCCCTTCCTTACTTGTGAGACAACAACGGAGCAAAGCTTTCCATGGTCTTCCCCAGCTCTGCTTATGCCACAACATCATGCTCTGACTGAGTCGAGCCTGAACTGTGCCTCCCTCTATCACCAGGGACCTCCCATATATTAGATCTGAGCTTTCCTGTTCATCCTAGAAACTCCAATGGTTCAGCCAGAGACTTCGTGGCTCTGCAATTCCCTCTGTATGTCTAACTGTGTCACCCTGGCACCTCAACTGTCCTTCATAATTGATCGGCAATCCCTTCAAGGTCTTGGTAAGCATTTCCCCTCCTTCCCTGTGTAAACTGTGACACAAATCTACACTCTGCAGTCCTTCACTCACCCCAGGTTGGAGGAGATACTTGAGGCAATCCCATGTGATCAACTTCAAGATCCCCTTTTCTTTGAACTTCTCAGTGAATTTCTCTCCATTCCCAGCGCAGAATCAGGTGCTCCTTTCCCTCTGATGCACATTCTGTAAGAAGTAATTTAGAGGTCATTTCTTATATCACAATGAGTTATAACCATTTGTCTTTGTCTTCATGAGATTATGAGATAATTGAGGGCAGAGACAGAAAATTAGTGCAGAGCCTGCTGCAGCAGAGTCTTCAAAGGTGTGACATTTACAAGTTGCTGGATGTTTGCATCAGCAAGTGTTATCTTGGTTCTGATGTAGGATAACTCAGAGATTATTTGTTTGGGGCCAAAATTGACTACCAAAGAAAATACCCATGACCTATAGACATTTTCCAGATCTGAAAATAAGGGCAGAGAAGAGTTGTGGACAAACAGCAAGGTACATGATCACTTTCATTTTTACATCTATTCCTATTTGTCTTCCCAAAGCCACAACAAATAGAAGTCAGGAACTAAAAGGAGAAGGATTCTGATTAGCTAAGAACACTGGTAAAACTGTGGAATTTTGAAGAACGAAGAAATAATGAGATGGACTCTCTGTCATGAATCATAGATTAACTGCTAAAAATCAAATCATCTCTTGGAATTGTTTGTAAAAAGTTGGGGACAAAGACTAAGGAGCTTAAGCAGCCAGCTTGTCAGTAGACAAAGCAGCCAAACTTGGAATAAGGAAGAATCTGATACATCGGAAGATGATGATTGGGGGGAAAGCAAAACATAATAAATGGATATTGTTACATTACTATGAGAGGAAATTTCACTAATGGTTCCAAACAGAATAAACAATACCTTGAAAAAAGTGGCAAATATTGTGCTTTGGACAAATGCTCAAATTGCATTCCAATAAATAAAGGCTCTAGGAGGACTTTCCTTTTAAGTTACAAGTTTCTCTTAATGTGTCATGCAGAGCCTTTCATGAAACATTGATGCCAGCCCACACCTGTGCCACTTGGGAACATAAGTAGTTTATTGACATATTTTACTATCAAAAAAGTCTTATCTCTCTAAAAGACTAATAAGGTCTCAATCTTGTTAGATTCTGTATACACAGAGAATATTTGTTTAATTTTTCAAAAAATGATAAAACTAAACATACTGTCTTGTAACTCATTTACATATTATTCCTTTATATGGATACCATAAGTTACTAAATCTTTAATCCCTTGTTAAATATTCATGTTGTTTCTATTTTTTGCTATTGTAACAATGCTACAATGAACATTCATATATATATATATCTTTGGACATTTCTGCAGTAGAAATTCTGAGAAGAGAGATTACTTAATAATATGTTAGTCATATAAATTTTGACACAAACTAATTGAGTAACATTTGTTTTAAATCTTTAAGGATTTTACAGTTGAAATATTCTTTGTTTATAAAAGAATTATGCTACTATAAAAATACAAATGCTTTTTATTTCATTACCCTCCCTGATTTGTTTAATGATGTTATTTTTTATTAGAGCATTGTAGATATACATAGTAGTTGGGTTCATCCCAACAAGCTCCTACATGCATGGAATTTTATTTCAGTTCACATTCCCCCCATTTCCCTGTCCTCTTCCCTCCCTTCATTATCCACCCTCTACTGATCTTCCTTTCACTCATCTATTTATTTTTTATTGACACACCCTGGTTTTCTTTAATAAACAATTATACAGGGGCTCAGGTTGTGGCTTAGTGGTAGAGCACTTGCCTGGCATGTATGAGGCCCTGGGTTCAACCCTCAGCACCACATATAAATAAATAAATAAACAAACAAACAAATCTCCATTTAAACAACCAATTATACAAACTTTCTAATGATTTGCCCCAAAATATGTAAATGCAAATTTTGATCTTGCTTTTCTTCAAGAAGTGTATTTAAAACAAGATTACTAAAATAATGTGTAGATATGTGATTTGGTAGTTATAGTCTTCTGTTTTTTTGTCTTTAAAAATGTGAATGAGGTAAATAATAGCTTTAATAATAGATGCATTATATTAAATAATTCTCCAATGAGGTGTTACAATAAACTCTAATAATGCCTCTAGATTAAGGATTTCAAACATTTTTCTCTGACTTCAATTTGCCAATATATACACAGGTGATTAAAAAATAAATAAGTTCAGAGGAAATGCAGATTCAGAATTATAGGGTATTTATTTTTTTTAAAAAAGCTAACACTGTACAAATATTATTGGCTTCCCCTTATCAATAATAATGACATTAGCCAGGCACAGTGGCACACACCTGTGATCCCAGCAACTAAGGAGTTTGGGGCAGGAGAAGGCAAGATAGCCAGATCCTGTCTTGAAATTAAAATTAAAAAAGGCAGGGAGTGTAGCTCAGTGGTAGAGTGGCCCTGGGTTAAATCTCCAGTACTTAAAAAAAAATAATGAAAAAAAAGAAAAGAGGAAAATAAGTTATTTTCAATAATTAAAGTATATAATCATAAAGTTGAAAATGCCTCTATTTGTATTTACAAAGAGATGACTTTTCTAATAGTATCCCTGAAAGGAGATTCTAAAGAAATCATATGAATTGGTAGGTATGTGAATTGCAGAAAGAGTAAAAATATTCTATTGCTTAATATTCAATTGCTCAATCTTTTTTTTTAGTTAAAGATCTGTGAAGTCAAGATATTTTACATACAAATTTTAATAATTAAGAGAGGGGTTAAACTTCCATAGAAATCACAAAATCAAAGGTTAGCTTTTAAAATATTCAAAATATTTTGTTTGTTAAAGAAAACATAAATAATAAAACAGTCTGCTATTGGTATGGAAATAGAAAAGTAGAACCTTCAGAACAGATGAGAGTCAAAAAACAGATCCAGTGTATATGGGTATCTAATAAATGATTAAGGTGGCATTTTAAACCAATGAGGAAAAAATGGATTATTTATTTGGGGAAACTGACCACCAAATGTAAAATCAGTAAAATTAGGTCTCACGTCAGTCATATACAGAAAGTCCAAATGGATGAAATATTTAAATGTAAAAAAAATCAGAAAAATAACATAGAAGTGTTAGGTCGAAACAGGAAAATTTTTCTACAATCTTAAAGTGGGCAAGGAATTTCTAGGTATAATTTGAAGCCTTAAAACCACAAAAGAAAAAAATCTGCACATTGGACTATAACAAAATAAAAAACTCTGCATAGCAGAAAATATACAAACAAAGCAAAAAGACAAATGACCACCTGGCAAGAATGCATTAGTGACTACCGCACAGAGAAGACAGAATCCACTCAGTAATGCTCACAGCAAGTTAAAGGGCACATGCAGCAAACTTGTTCCAGTTTCCATGCCACAGGTATCCACAGGGTGTGTGGGGAGTGCCAGCCATGCTTCAAGGTGCTGGTGATTCATGCCTTGTTAGGAATTGGACTTCATGTTGAGTGATATCCAAAGAGATTCAGGGAAGATCATGCTCAGGTTGGAATGTTAGAATAGTTGTGTTGGCTGCAGGACAGAGTATCAGTTGGAGGTAAGCAGACTTAGAAAACCAGTTGGGAGGCTGTGGCAACAAATCAGGTGGAAATAATGATGGTGTAATCTAAGTATGGGATGCAGGGCTGATGGGAAACCTGGTGAGAAGGTAAATTAGATAAGAGCTTGTGGATTCCCTGTGGGGGTTGAAGTAGATGCAGGGATAAAACATGATGCTCAAGTTTCTGGTTTGAAAAACTAGAAGACAGTGGTGTTATTTCACTAAGATATAGAAGCCAGGTGGAGGAGAGGGGTGGGGAGGGAGGATAATGAGTTCAGGTGTTGGCACGTTGAATTTTTGGTATTGCAAAACATCTAAGAGGAGAAGTCAAGAGCACAACTAGAGGTAGAGTATAGAGAAATCTGCACTAAAGAGCTTTGTATCCCAAGTCTCTCAGGCCTCAGCATCCAGGGAAAATAGATTTAGTCTCATTATTATTTCCCGTGTTTCATGTTTTCAGGTTTACCACTTTTGTAATTATAGGAATCCTAGGATAGTATACAAGCTTTCTCTTCAAGAATTCCCAAGAATCATCAAAGGACACTTGCAAGCATCTAGGAACTGAGTGCATCCTTGCTTTCCAGGAACTGTTCCCATCACTCTTGCCACATGATTGTTTAGCTGGTCTGAGAATCTAGAACATATCATGCTGGTAAAATCTGACATACCACGGGCCATGCTGTACCACTAGGAACACCAAGGCTGGAGGGAGTATGTTAGCATATCTGTTTCTCCCTCCATAGCTCCTCTTCTGTGTACACATACTCTGGAAAGGTGATCAGATTCTGGTAATTTCCAGTGTCATCTGCTGCTCTTCTCACAATCCCATCCCTGTCCTCTGATCTTGTTCCTGGTTCTCTTTTCCTAACTTCATTCCTTACCATGAATTCATTTCTCCCTCCTTGATGTCTGTCCCTGCAACCTGCCTCCTTCAAGGGTTCACCCTGAAGGAGGATTTTTCAGCCCTATGGAAATAAGCAGCTACAAATATATAGGGGGAGACATGTCATTCATTCTCCCTCACTTGAGCTCCAGTTGATGCCAGGATAGGATTCTCTTATATATTCGGAACTACAATGCCTCTTATCCAAGTCAAAGCCCTGCTTTAAAAGTTATGGACTTCCAAAAGTCTCATTCAAGACCCTATCCACTCTAGCAGGGTTCCAACTTTACGATCTTCCATTCATTTCTCACCCACCTGTTGTCCATTAACACCAGTAGCTCCCCTTTCCCTGCCATGCCTCATGCTCAATGAGAATCAAGCCTGTAAAAATTGATGTATCTGTTGATGCATCCTCCTCCCATATCTGATCCTCCAAGTCTCACCTGCTTCTCAGGGACCATCTGAGATGCTACAGAAGTCAGCTATTTGTAGGATCAAACTCTCATTCTAAAGACCCATAGTACTTTCCTTGAATTTTTGATATAACCCTCATTTATTATTTCCACAAATAATCACTGAACAAAATTATTAAAATGCAATATAGTACAATGGTGAAAGGCACTGGAGTAACATTTTCTGGGTCCATGTTCTGTATTTGTCACTTATTTTATGTATAACTGCAGCTTACTTCATCTTTCT